GAGCACTTGAAATCTGGCTAGTCAAACTGAGATGTGTTCTAAGTATAAAAATACACACTGGATTTCGCAGACTTCATATAGAAAAAAAAGTAAGAAATTTCTGATACTTTTCATACTGATTAAAAGTTGAAATGAGAGGGGCGCCTGGGTGGCTCAGTCGGTTCAGCTTCTGACCCTTGGTTTTGGCTCAGGTCATGATCTCAGGGTCCGGATCTCAGGGCTGTGAGATCCAGCCCCACGCTGGCCGCACACTGCGCTGGGTCTGCTTAAGACTCTCTCTCCCTCTGCCCCTCCCCCTGCGCAGTCTCGCTCTCTCTCTCAGAAGTAAGTAAATAAATAAATAAAATAAAGTTTGAAATGAGAACATTTAGGATATATTGGATTAGATCAAGTATACCAAGATTCATTTTACCTCTTGTTTTCTACCTGTTCATTTATTTATTTATTTCTTAAAGATTTTATTTATTCATTTGAGACACAGAGATACAGAGAGAGAGGACATGTAGGGGGAGAGGCAGGGGTAGAGACAGAGGGAGAGGGAGAAGCAGGCCTCCCACAGAGCAGGGAGCCCGACACGGGGCTCGACCCCAGGACATGACCCGAGCAGAAAGCAGATGCTTAACGACTGAGCCACCCAGGTGCCCTGTTCATTTGTTTTTTAAAAAAAGATTTTATTTATTTATTTGAGAGAGAGAGAGCACAAGCTGAGGGAAGAGCAGAGGGAGAAGGACAAGCAGACTCTGTGCTGAGCGTGGAGCCCTATGGGGGGCTTGATACCAGGACCCTGAGATCATGACCTGAGCGGAAATCAAGAGTCCGAGGCTTAACTGATTGAGCCACCCAGGCATCCCTCTACCTTTTTAACTGTGGCTATTAAAAAGTCTTAAATTACGTATGTGGCTTGTATTTTGTTTCTAGTGGATAGGGCTGAGCCAGAGCGCTTATTGATAGCAAGGATAATTCCAAGTGCTAAATGTGTAGTATCTCATTTAATCCTACAATGACTCTCAGAGGTGGCTAGTATTCATCTTTCTGCAGAGGCGGAAATCTGACCTGCAGAGAGTAAATGGCCAAAGATTCACCACCAGCAAGGAGCATAGTGGGGGTTTGAACCTGGGTGGAGTCCCTCTGCCTAACCAATGGGCACTTAACCCCACACTACTGAGTGCAGGCGCCACTGCGCTGGGACATCCATAGCCATCAGGGCAGAAGGAACAACACAGAGATATTCCAGGAACTAGATGGGCTTATGTGCATTTGGCCATGGGGTGACCCCACCAGAGGATCTGCTTTCTCGGTGGCCGTTTCCTTACCCTGGGGACTCTGAATTCAGTTTTAGCAGGGCTGTCTGTCTGCCTTGTCAATGCAAGTTAATCTTTAGGAAGCGTACTTAATAACGGTCCACTAAGCACTCTCTAACCCAGCCCTATCCACTAGAAACAAAATGCAAGCCATGTGTGTAATTTACAATTTTCTAGTAACCATATTTAAGAAAAGGTAAAAAGAGGGATGCCTGGGTGGCTCGGTTGGGCATCTGCCTTCAGCTCAAGTCATGATCCCAGGGTCCTGGGATTGAACCCCGCTCCCCCCTCTCCCTCTGTTGCTCCCCCTGCTTGTGCTCCCTCACTCTCCCTGTCAAATAAATAAATAAAATCTTTTTCAAAAATAAAAAAATTATATTAAATTAAAAAGGTAAAAAGAAACAAGTAAAATTAATGTTTTATCTACTCCAGTATATCTTAAATGTTACTGTATCAACCTGTAATCAATATAAAAAAATATGGCCTTGCCTCCCCATTTTCATTCCCCACCTCATATTTCATGGTGCAAATTCCTTCCAGTCCTTCCAATGCACCACGGCCTCTGTCTTGCCCATAGGCCTTTGCATATGCTGTTCTAGGCAGCTGGGAATGATGTGAGGTTATTCATTCTTCATACAGGCCTATTTGCTCTTCTGCATGCCCTTTTGGACTATAGCCCCGAAGAAGGCGGCACCATATCAGTTTTATTCATCATTGTACGTCCAGCCTGAGCACAGCTCTTGGTACAGCGCAGGCACTGTTAAATATCTCACCACCAAGTGAATTAATGAGCGACTTCACTACTTCTCTTCTGCGTCTTCAATTAAACCATGAACTTTCTGAGGAAAGGGACTATGGTTTGCTTCGTTCCAAGTGTCAGGCATAATGCCCACCAGTCATTCAGCAGATATATATTGAGCAACACCTCCTATATGCTGTGCACATAGCAATGGACATGGTTCCTGCCCTCACGTGCTCTAATAGGATGAGGGACATTTATCAAATAATCCTACCACTACACGTAAATTGCAGGAGTAAGAAGTGCCTACAAGGGCGCCTGGGTGGCTCAGTTGGTTAAGCGACTGCCTTCGGCTCAGGTCATGATCCTGGAGTCCCGGGATCGAGTCCCGCATCGGGCTCCCTGCTCAGCGGGGAGTCTGCTTCTCCCTCTGACCCTCTTCCCTCTCGTGCTCTCTATCTCTCATTCTCTCTCTCTCAAATAAATAAATAAAATCTTAAAAAAAAAAAAAGAAGTGCCTACAAAACAGAGGTACATTAAAGGTGTTGGAAGGGCACGAGATAGCATGACTGCCTGGCTGGGGAGCAGTCTTGACTCCTTGAGTTTTAATATAGGAGAACGTGGCGGCCAAAGGTGAGGCACCTGGTTCTGCCTTCAAAAAAGAGCTCGTCACCGAGATCGAGAAATGGCGGCTTCCAGATGCAGGGTTTTCAGGGCAAGGCTGAGCTCTTCTTCCAGGGCATCCCCTAGTCAGTGGCTAAACATGGTGGGGGGGACTGGGGCCATAATACTTCTGCCCGGTGGGGCTCCTCCAATGAGTTTTTGTTCTGGCACTTCCTGTTAGGTTATTTATCTTTGTCAGATCTGAGTCCTTGCCGGATCCTGCTTCTTCCCCTTTCTTTCATGGGCGTTACCCCCCCACCCCCACCCCCAACTCCATCTCAGCATCTCCTTCCTGGAGGACCTGACTTGACCCAGAGGGTCTTGGCGGCTGGATTCTGGTGGGCAAGGGAACTCAAAGTTATGCTTACAGGGCATTTTTATATAGAATCGACACACTACCCTTGCCCTTTGCAAAGAGTGGGGAAGGGCTGATAGTCATAGGAGCCTCTATGAGAATTAACTGCGGTAGTAGCTACATAGTATCTGGCACTCAATGAATGGCAGCTGTTACTATTACCTGGTTTCTTTTCTTTTTTTTTAAATTTTATTTTATTATGTTATGTTAATCACCATACATTACATCATTAGTTTTTGATGTAGTGTTCCATGATTCATTGTTTGCGTATAACACCCAGTGCTCCACGCAGAACGTGCCCTCTTTAATACCCATCACCAGGCTAACCCATCCCCCCACCCCCGTCCCCTCTAAAACCCTCAGTTTGTTTCTCAGAGTCCATAGCCTCTCATGGTTAGTCTCCTCCTCCGATTTCCCCCCCTTCATTTTTCCCTTCCTGCTATCTTTTTTTTTAACATAAAATGTATTATTTGTTTCAGAGGTACACGTCTGTGATTGAACAGTCTTACACAATTCACAACGCTCACCATAGCACATACCCTCCCCAATGTCTATCACCCAGCCACCCCATCCCTCCCACCCCCCTCCCCTCCAGCAACCCTCAGTTTGTTTCCTGAGATTAAGAATTCCTCATATCAGTGAGATCATGATACATGTCTTTCTCTGATTGACTTATTTCGCTTAGCATAATACCCTCTAGTTCCATCCATGTCATTGCAAATGGCAAGATTTCGTTTTTTTGATGGCTGCATAATAGTCCATTGTATATATATACCACATCTTCTTTATCCATTCATCTGTACCTGGTTTCTACTCATTTCCTCTGGGCTCTGGGGTGGCAGTGGGTGTTTCAGGAAACTATGCCTGGCACTGGGTGTAATCTTGAAGTTTTTCTTTTTTCTTTTTTTTTTTTTTAAAGATTTTATTTATTTATTTGAGAGAGAGAATGAGATAGAGAGAGAGCATGAGACGGGGGAGGGTCAGAGGGAGAAGCAGACTCCCCGCCGAGCAGGGAGCCCGATGTGGGACTCGATCCCGGGACTCCAGGATCATGACCTGAGCCGAAGGCAGTCGCTTAACCAACTGAGCCACCCAGGCGCCCTCTTTTTTTTTTTTTTTTTAAGATTTTATTTATTTATTTGACAGAGAGAGACACAGCGAGAGAGGGAACACAAGCAGGGGGAGTGGGAGAGGGAGAAGCAGGCTTCCCGCCGAGCAAGGAGCCCGATGTGGGGCTCGATCCCAGGACCCTGGGACCATGACCTGAGGAAGTTTTTCCTTTAATGTCTAAGTCGGGGTCCCCTCTGCTCCATGCAGAATTTTGGAAAAGTCTCCCTTTAGGGAGGGTAGACATGTGGAAGATTAAGGGATATATAACCACAGAAGTACTGAATCTGGCCCCAAAGTCCGGATTGCAAGCTGCACTGCCATCGGTCCAGAGGACGACCCCAAGAAAGGCCCTCCAAAGGTTCCCTGCTTTTCCTGGTACTGATTTAGGGTCCTCCTGGGAGATGACCTAATGGGAGACAGACAGACAGACTGGTGGACAAATATGACTCTCCAGTGGATGGACATGTGATGAGTGAGTGACTGATGGATGGACAGACGCAGGTCAGACTGTGAGATGTCAACACAGGAGATGGATCTGTCAGCCAGACGGTCAGGCATGTGACTTTGAGACGGACGGAGACTGACCGCAGGGCCTGAAGGCCTGGGAGCCTGCCACCTGCCGACTCGGCCGCGAGGGGGCGCCGCCGCTCCGCCCGGCGTGGCCCACCGCCACCTGGGCGCGCGCTCGCGGGCCGGCGGCGGGGCGGGGCTAGCGTGCGCACGGGGCGGGGCCAGCTTGCTCCCGGGGGCGACCGCGGGCGGGGGCGGGGCGCGCGTGCTCGCGGGGGCGGGGCGCGCGCGGCGGCGGCGCGTTCCGTTCCGGGCCGAGGCTCGCGGCGGAAAAGTTGTGGGGCAGAGAGGAGCGGCCCTGGGACGGGCAGAGAGCGGGACGCCGAGCCGGCTCCCGGCGCCCGCGGTCCCGCCATGGACGACCTCGGTGAGTAAGCGGGAGGCCGAGGGAGGAGGCTGCGGGGGGCGCGCGGCCCCGGGCCGGGCGGGCGCGAGCGAGCGGCGGGGGCCGTGGTATCCCGCCCCCGGCGGCCCGGGTCCCGGCTCAGCTCGCTGCATACTGGGGTTCCGCGGGGCCGGGATCCCCGGCTGGGCCTGAGTCCCGGGCCAGGCCGGCCTCGCCGCCGACCTCACAGCCGCCAGCCCCCGCCTCGGGGACGGCCCCACCTCCGGACCCCGGACCTCGGGGACCCACCCCCATCCTCTAGACCAGCCGTAGGGGCCAGCTTGCACCTCAGGGACCCGCCCCGTCCGCCCCAGGGACGGACCCCCTACTGCCTGCACCACATCGCCTCCCCCGCTGTGGGACCCTCCCTTCACAGCCGGCTCCCCCACCCCCCCCACCTCACTGATCGGCCGCCCAACTCGGGGAACAACAGCTGCCGAAACTCCCGGTTGGTCCCTCATTTCCAGGACCTGCTCCCACCCCTTTAAGGACCTCTGCTTCAGGGATAGCCCCTCCAAGGCCACCCCTTTCATTTCACAAGTTAAAGATGAGCCTCCAATGACCATACCCCCACAAAGACAAGTTTCTCTCTGTCCTATCCCCCCGCCCAACCCAGGTCTGGGCACCCTGTTTCATGGGCTGGTCACTCCACTTCCCGACTGCCCTGTCCACTCTGTGGACCAGCCCCTCCCCTTTCCTATCACAGATGAGCCTAATCCTAGAAGAGTAAGCTGGGGAGACATGATTCTTCCCCCGCTCCCAGAGTCTGGTGCAGTGCCAGGGGAATGAGGTGGGAAGTGGGCCCCGAGGTATGGCCATCTCTGGACTTGTCCGGGCTGGCAGAGTTCCTCCCACCCCCCAGCATCCAGCCTTGCTGGAGGCCACACAGGTAAGGAGGACAGGAGGCCCATAACAGAGTTTTACTGTTTTCATGTTATCAGAGCTCCCCAACTACTCTTTTCAGTCCAGTCTTGATCTGGTGTTAGGACAGGGAAAAGTATCTCCTGAAACCTGACACTAAACCCAAGGGGGTTCATGCCAGGGTTCTAGGAATGCCTTCAGTGACCTGAACCCTGGAGTGAGAGGATTCACTCTTCACTCCTCTCTCCCTCCCCTTCATGCCTGTAGCCAGAGGGCCTCTGAGCTGGGGAGGTATTGGTCGGGGGGGGGGGGGGGGGGGGGGGTGTGGGGGGGGGGGGGGGAGTTTCTTCTCTGTAGGAGCCTTGTCTTCCCTCTCTGGACTGTGGGTGGCTTGTGTGACCACTGATGCTTTCTCTGTCCCAGCCTCTGAGGAGTAGATTCATCAGACAGCTCTGACTGGCCGCCCCCAAGCGCACAGGGCACTAAGTTAAGACTGGCTATTTGTAGGTGCTGGACTTCCAAGGGGGCAGGGAGGAGGACCGCCAGCTTCCTTTTGCAAAAGATCAGGGCGCCGCGGAGAGATCCTGGTGCTGGGGATGGTGTGCAGTCCTGCCTGTTTTGCAGAGTGTGGTGGCTGCCAAGCATAGTTCTGCCTTTGGGTCAGGCTTGGCACCCATTTTTCTAACACACTCAAGGTTGGCATGGCTTGCAGGCAGGTATTTTTTTCACATAAAAAATAAGCTGAGAGGAGACTGGGGGATGTTTTTTGAACCAGGATCTGAAAGTCTTGATGCTTTCCCAGCAGGAACTGGGGAGCAGAGTTACGGTTTCTAAAATGCTGATGTGTTTCTCTTGCTTTTCTTTTCTTTTTTTTTTTTTTTTAAAGATTTTATTTATTTATTTGAGAGAGAGAGAGAGAGAGAGAGAATGAGAGATAGAAAGCACGAGAGGGAAGCGGGTCAGAGGGAGAAGCAGACTCTCTGCTGAGCAGGGAGCCCGATGCGGGACTCGATCCCGGGGACTCCAGGATCATGACCTGAGCCGAAGGCAGTCGCTTAACCAACTGAGCCACCCAGGCGCCCTCTCTTGCTTTTCTATAGTCCCTTACACACGGTACTGTTTGAAGGTCTGAGAGAGTTTTGTAGAGTTTGCTGTTGGAGTCCAGAATTCCTGTTTTCTGACAGTCTTCCATTTAGGGCCAGGAAACTGAGTGAGTCTCGGGGAAAAGAGTATACTGGCAGAGGGGACTGCAGGAATTGAAATTTGCTGTTTATGGAGTGCTTCCCCATACCTCAACTTGTCCCGTGCTCCCTCACAGCAACCCTTTATAAGAGCCCCTTACTTAGGGCCACTGCTCTCATTACTACCTGCCTTTTACAAATGGAGAAAACGGACTCAGAGAGGTTGATTCACTTGCCCAAGGCTGTACCGCCATGGAATGACCAAACCATGACTAGAGAAGCCCAGTCCTTGGCTCCTAGATCTGCAGCTCTCGTGTACCAAGGGGTCTTTTCTTGCTGAGGAGGGGGTGAGCAGCACGTGAAGGAGGGGTCGCAGGGGAGTGGTGGCTGCCGCCTGTAACTTCTGCCGCCTTCCAGCAGACTCCCCAGTTGTTCTGGGCTGCCTGACTTCCTTGGCCCAAGCTCCCAGGAGACCAGCCACGCCTGGCTGCCCCGGAGCCCCCGGGTGGGAGCAGTGGGGCGAGCTGGAAGGGGAGAGGAATTTGCCTCTGTGCTCAGCCCCCATCAGCTGCCTGGATGGCTGCACCTCAGCTGTTTTCCTTAGTTAGGGTGGACACAAAGGCCAGGCCTCTTGTTTTTACTTTTCTCCTGAGAGTGCTCTCAGCTGTGAGCCTCCTGGTTCCTGAAACAGGGGAGTTTATGGTCTGTCCTGTGGCAAGGCTAGAGGCGGCAGAGTCTCTGCTGTGACTTGTTTTTTTTTGGGGGGGGTCTTAAAAATTGGGGGACTCTTTCCTCCCCAAAGTGACTAGTGAGTGACAGCCTCACCATGTGCTGTTTAATAAGTTACAAATTCATAGCTCTTTGGGCAGAAAAACAGAAACACTGCCCTTCCCTGTGTGTTCTCTCTGTGCTGCAGGGGTGGCTGCTGGCGGCTTTTCCCCGTTACTGTTTAGATGCTGGTTTGGCCCGGGGTTCGCTCTGTTGAGTTCTGGCTAGAGTTTCCTGGACAGAGTTCCCACAACACTGAGATGCACTCTGATTACGGTTTCGGACCCAACTCCCCGCTCTCCCCTCGTTCATGTTCCTAGTGCTCTTGGGGGGGGCTGTGACCACAGCTGCGGTCCAATAAAGGTCACGTGTGCTTGATGGGAGACAGGCATCGGACTCAGCATTTTAGGGGTATGATCACTGCCATTCCGAGAGGGAGGTGTTTTATCTCCGCTTTACGGATGGGGAAACTAGCCCTGGGAGGCTCACTGGGGGAAGCTGGGGTTGGAACACAGACTGATCCAATTCCAGATCTGGTGAACTAAATCATAATAAGGTTAAGTGCTGGGTGAGGTGACTAACTGGGGGGTGAGCCATGGGCTTGCTGACTAATTGCTAGTTACCTTCAAAATTTGTGCCCTGGGGGCCGTCCCGGATAAACGGCCTCGATGGTAAAGCGTGGGTCCAGTTCAGACCTTGATAGCTTTGCCTTCCCATCTCTTACAGGGGTAACAGCCAGCTGTTGGCAATGCCCAAGACTTCCCAGCAGTCTTGACCCTCTGAAAAACAGTGCCTCATTGTCCTTAGGGGGAGTGCTAGGGGAGCAGGGCAGTTGCCTGGGGCATTCCGGGCTACGGAGCCTCCCTGTTTCCATGGAAAGTCTGCGCTTCGGGCTTGCCTGTCTGTGGTGCCTCTGTGTGTTAGGCCAGGGTCAGGGCACCCAGCTGCTGCCCCGCGGCAGAGGCAGCCTGGGGAGCGATGGTGCGTTCCGCATCCATGCCGGATGTTCTGGGCTGTACGCTAGTGAGGTGTGGAGCTGGGCCCCGAACCCGGTGCGTTTGGTTCTCAGGCAGGTGCGCTTTCCGTTATGCTAAGCTGTCTGCTGCTCCGTGTGGAGAGGTTCGGGTTGCTGGGGCCATAGCCCTGCCGCTGTGGGTTGGAGGTCTTCCAAGGGAGCCTCGCAGTATTCCCTCCAGCTTCCCCAGTGATGGCCATGCATTGAGAGGCTGGGTGGGTCTTTGGCTGGAGGGCCGCTCAGAAGGCCGGAGTTACCGCAGGAGCTCTAAGCAGCGCCTGTCCCCCATATAACTCACCGTGCGTGGACTGTGCTGACCCTCCAGAGCTTCCTTGGGCCTTTACCTTGTTCCAAGGCCAGAGAGTGGAAAAACTCCTCCCGCCTCCGCCTCATTGCAGCCCTTCCCTGGGTTGTCCTGGTCTCAGTGCCTTCATTAATAATAACAAACAGCTGTAGAACTCTTTCCCATAGTTTTTATTGAGCACTTAAACTGTGTACAGGCACTGTGCTGGGCACCTTACGTGCATTGTTTCCCTGACTCATGTCGGCCATAGGAGGCACAGGTTCTATTATTATTACTACTGTCCATTTTACAGATGACGAAACTGAGGCACAGAGAGTGTTAGCCCCCTTACCCAAATTCTGTTAACTAGTGAGTGGCAGGGCTGGGGTTTAAATGCAGAGTCGGGCTTGTAACCATTTTTACACCTCTGTTCCCATAATGCTGGATCGGATCTCGCTTGCCTATTGGTTTGGTTGTTTTCCATTTCTAGGATGCTAAAAATCTTTCCTGCCCCCTCCCCACAGCCTCCATTCTTCCCCTCCCCACAGTCTCCCCCATGCATCCCCTTCCTGTTCTCTGGGCTTCTTCCCTCTCCTTCTGTCTTTCTCGGGATGGGCTGGGGGACACTTGTGGCAGAGGGTCTCCTGCTCAAGGCCCTCCCATCCCCCCTTCTCCCCCCCCTTCAGTCACCTGTTCCCCTCGGGGCAGAGGGTAGCCCTCTGAGGTCCCTCTTCTACGCCTGGTTGGAATCGGAATCAAGCCCTCCATGCCCTTGGCCCATACAGATGTGCTCCTGTCTTCATTCAGGTGTTTCTATGTTGCCACCAGCTGGAGCCGGCCCATTTCCAGAGGAGGAAGTCTTTTAAGGTGGAGA